TTTATTTATTTATTTATTTATTTATTTATTTTCAGAGAGAGAGAGAGAGAGAGCACAAGCAGGAGAGCAGCAGGCTGAGGGAGAAGTAGGCTCCCCGCGGAGCAGGGAGCCCGATGCGGGACTCGATCCCGGGACTCCAGGATCATGACCTGAGCTGAAGGCAGCCAGCCGCCCAACCGACTGATATTGATATTCTATCATTGTCTTCATTTATGAGCTGGAGTTCAGTAATAAAAAGCTTTCCCTCCTTAACTACTTGTTTATGTCAGGAATAATTCCCTCCAGGAAAGGTAGCATAAATGCTTCATTCTTTCCCTTTACTTACATGTTTTCAGGATGGCTTATCTAGGTTCTTCCAAGGGTGATCAAATCCTCTTGTTTTCATTTTAGTATCATTCAAGTTCACGGATTTAAGCACAGTTGATATATTTCAATCCACTGCTATTGTTTTCATTGATCCTCAAACTGTCTCATCTTTGATCAATTAGAACTTCATGTTAATTCGTGAGTTTTCTGACAGAACCCTAGCAGTCTTAAATAGCTTCATTGCCTTATATATACTATGACAAAATCTTCTAGGCTCAACCTGTACATTTCCCGCCTAGACTCAGAATTAGCTATTTCTCCCAGGAATCCTGTTCCTAGCTATGTATTCAGTGGGAGGAATCCTTTCTCTAGGTATGTGAATTCATTTGCTACTTTATTTCTCTAGCATACAATGGAGCAATACTGCTTGTTAGCTTATTTTTCGATGTATGCACAAGGAGTAGTGTTTCTTTGGTTTACCTGCTTGCTAAATATTCACTGAGAACCTGCTGGCTACAAAGCAGTATGCTGGTAAAGATGAAGAAAACCAAGATGATTATGACTAGGTCCTTGTCCTTGAGGAGATTTCAATTTATTTTGTAGAGAGAACAAGAAATATCTAACATAACAACAAAGGAAGAAATTTTTCACAAATGCTACAAAAGGTACAAAACACTATGGGAATTTGGAATGGACAAGGGCAGGGGAAGGATTTACAAAGAGGGTAAAAAAAAAAAGAGTAAGATTTCAAAAGCTGGAAACGGAAGGAAAGGCTGAGAGAAGGGCATAAGCAAAGAAACAGAAAGAGAAGGATGTAAGAGAGTGCACATCTTAGGAGGGCAGCTGGAGGAAGACTGGAGAGAACAGGTAAAGAATATATTTCAAGGCCTTCTAGGTGCCAGGCCCGACGCTAATCACACTATATATGTTAACTACTTATGACAAACCATCTAAATAGACATTTTTATGTCTTATTTTGTAGATGAGACAGATAAGACAAGGTCAAAGAGGCTAAAGTAACTTCCTTGAGATCATACCTTTGGCAAGTGGCAATGCTAGGATTCAAAAGAATCTTTTCTATACACCATCTTACCTCTAAACTAGTTTAACAGCTTAACATATATTAAGGAAAGGAATGGGAAACAAAATCAAAAGTTTGAACAGAGTCCACACTTTTGAGGGCCTCAAGCATACAACTAAGCATTTCAGACTTTATTCTGAAGTATGGTACAGCCTTCTAAAAGCAGGAGAACAACAAATCTGTAACAGAATATTCTGGAGATAGTGGGTTGGCAGCGTATGGTGGCCAGAAGTGGAGAGGTAGTATGATGCTCTACGTTGACAAAGGAGAAACAAGCAGGAGCAGGGAAAGGAGACAAATGACCTGGATGACTAGAGGTAAAGAAGAGAAAGAGTCAGAAACAATACCAGGATTCTGAGCTAGTGTATGGGAGAATGATGGAGCAATAAAAGAAATTGGGAAGTTAGTAGAATGCTCTAGTTTGAAGGGGAAATTAAGCTTCGTGCAGAGTAATTTTAAGGAGCTTGAAGAGAGGGAAAGCATATAAAACACCTGCTGCCAGGAACTTAACGAATAGGGTTCTTAAGCCTAGTTTCCCAAAGAACAACCAGTTTTTAAAAAATAGGTGTGTTCAGTGCCCACACCTTGCAAATCTCCTTCTTAGGACTGAAGAGTGGGATCCAGACATCTGTAGTTTCAAAAGTTCTGCAGATAATTCCTGGGTCAAGAATCCATTATTTATTTATTTATTTATTTTTAAAAGATTTTATTTATTTATTTGAGAGAGAGAATGAGAGAGAGAGAAAGGTCAGAGGGAGAAGCAGACTCCCCGCTGAGCAGGGAGCCCGATGTGGGACTCGATCCCGGGACTCCAGGATCATGACCTGAGCTGAAGGCAGTCGCTTAACCAACTGAGCCACCCAGGTGCCCAAGAATCCACTTTTTAAAAGAACAAAAGAAGACTGCCATGCTATCAGAAAGATTCTCTTAGTCACCCCAGCAAAACTGGCACAGCCTGTGCTGAATCGGCTTTGTGATTTTCCCTAGCAGCTAGAAAGTGGAAGAAAGTAAAGCTTCTGGTGAAAGTTACCAAAAGCTAGGAATGAGCAAGGACAGCAAAGACAAAAGTCAAGGAGTAGTCTAGAAGTTAGCGAGAGTACCTTTGAAATGGCCAGTGATAATTTCCAGAGGATAGACAGGTAAAGGAGCCTGGGGCTAAAGCTATTGTGAAAGAGGAGCAAACTTAATGGCAAGAAAAGAAGGTACAAATGACTGGCCTTGAGATGAGAACTCTGTATACACTCTATCAATGTTCACATAGAACATCGTGCTGCAATGTGAACACTGAACATCATACCATCAACCTTGAATTAGGTAGTATCATGAGTTCCATTTTATTAGATGAGCAAATTAAAGTTTAGACAGGTTAAGGAGAGGTAACTGAGTGACAGCAAAATAAAAAGGGTGGTGGAGAACAAGAAGGTTGCCAGTTTCCAATCCTCATATTAAGCTTCTGGATTAGAAGGAAGGTTGTCAAAATCTTAGTTGAGACAAGGTGGCAGAAAGAGCTTTTATAACATGATGGAGGAAGATTCATAAGACATTTCAAAATTTATTCAACCAATATGTGCCAGGTTGTGTGGACGTTCTACAATGAAGACATACACACTGGCTGCTCTTGCGTAGCTGGTAGTTCAAGTGAGGGAGGCAAACACATAAAGGGGTGTGCAGTGTGCAACAGGGACATGGAAAGGCACCTTTTCCAGCCTAGAAAACTTTCTAGCCAAGGGAAAAAGCATGTGCAAGGGCTTGAAGACCAGAAAAGACAAGATCTATTGTGGGAAGTAAAAGTAACTGAAGGCAGTTTGAGCACAATGCAAATGGAAGATACCACTGACTTTGCCCATAACAGGCCCCTTGTTCATAGGGCTTACCCAGGAAAAGATATTGGTAAAGCAGACCTCAATGATGAACTGACTGGAGTTATATGCCAAGTTTATAGAATTAGCTGGTCCCAAACTTTGCAGTAGAGGATTACTGTAATGTTCTGTGACCCAGGAAACTCATGCCCTGTCTGAGCAGTTTGTGGGCTTGGGAACAGAGGAGTAGATAGCATTAGGTTCCTAAAGCCCCCATTCCAGGAGGATCTGATAGGTTGGCTTTCTCTCTTCCTCACTTCCTTAAAAAGAAAAATCTATTAGACTATCATCCTATTTGTTTACAATGATATTTTACATCTATAGGGTAGATTATTTGTAGAGTACTGACCATGAGTTTTCTCCCTGGAGTCGCACTATGTGGAAAGCCAAACATCAAAATCAAAATCAGCTTGTTTTGGAGAGATTAGAGTAGAAGAGTCACTAATATGAATGGATATGCTCAATGACATCAGGGTCTTACCACCTTTTTAACAAAATCATTTTATACACATACACAAAAAAACATTTTTATATATATTCTTTGAAGTCTCCTTTTACACATAATTTCACATAAATACATAAATGACACAGATAGTGGAAGGTTTTTAATTGCAGTCTTATTAGCCCCACCCTTTTTAATTTGGCTCCCTCTTCTCTTTTACTCCTCTCCTCCACCCCACTCTACGATAAGTCACAGTAATGATCTAGTAGGTACCCTTCCATGCTTTCTTCCCCATGTTCATATAATCATATACAAACACATATATATATATGTACATTTATAGGGATTGGTGAGACTTTTTAAAATAATGAAATTATTAATAGTAATTCTTTTCTCAGCAGTATATCTTATAGAAATCCCTGCAATTCATATAATCCTATTCTTTTTAATAGCTACACAATGGGTAATTTTAAAATTATGCTTCCTTTGTTTTTGTTCTATGCAGTGATGCAAAAAAAAAAAATCCTTTCATACATCCTCAGAAACTATTTTTTGTCATTTCAAGTGTCTGATTTTATATCCTTGCTATAAATGTATTCAAAAGCACTATGTAGTACTGTTTTGCATTAATTCATGCTTTATGTAAATAGTATTGTACCACACACATCCATCTGTAATTTGCTTGAGATGTTTTTGAGACTTATCCTTACTGATATATGTAAATTTAGTTCATACATTTTTACACCTGCATAGTATTTGTGCTGCTTTTATTCTATTTTATTTTTATTTATTTATTTTTTTAGAGAGAGTGCAAGCGTGGGTGGGGGCTGGAGAGGGGGAGAGAGAGAGAATCTTTTTTTAAAATTTTTTTTAAGGTTTTCTGAGAGAGAGAGAACACAAGCAGGGGGGAACAGCAGGCAGAGGGAGAAGCAGGCCTCCTGCTGAGCAAGGAGCCCGACGTGGGACTTGATCCCAGAACCCTGGGATTACGACCTGAGCCGAAGGCAGATGCTTAACCAACTGAGCCACCCAGGCATCCCGAGAGAGAGATAATCTTAAGCAGGGTCCATACCCAGCGTGGAGCAAGACTCGGGGCTTGATCTCACAACCCTGAGATCATGACCTGGGCCAAAATCAAGAGCCAGAAACCAAAATGACTGAGCCATCCAGATGCCCCTTTTTATTCTAATTAGAATTCTTATTTTATTTAGTTTTTTCTATTATCCTGTTTATCTAGAATTTTTATTAGGAAACTCCTAAACTTGATCAAATGCCTTTTCTTTTCCTTCTTTTTTTTTTTTTTTTTGTTTTCAGAGTTCAGCTTAATTTTGCAGCACAGAAATCATTCGGAGGGGCGCCTGGGTGGCTCAGTTAGTTAAGCGACTGCCTTCAGCTCAGGTCATGATCCCAGGGTCCTGGGATCGAGTCCCGCATTGGGTTCTCTGCTCAGCGGGAGGCCTGCCCCCCCCCACTCTGCCTGCTACTCCACCTGATTGTGCTCTCTTTAATAAATAAAATCTTAAAAAAAAATCATTTGGGGCCATTCTGAGACAGACATCATTGAAGTGGAGGCTTTGTCAAATCAATACCATAATATAGCTTGGTCCATTGAAGAAGCCATATCTAGAAAACAAAAGAAACTTCTAATTTACCTGGTTTATGATAGGTTTCTTTCCCTTTGCTCTCATCAATTTTATAAGGTTAAAACACTGCACACAGGCTTCCACCAAAATGACTCTCATAGTCTGGTGTTGGGTTAGAATTTTAGGCCCACCTAACCCCATCTTATGGCTGTGTTACATGGACACTCATAATACCTGACAGGACACAAAATGTAAAGGTGTAGGAAAATGTAGGGATTCTTTCCCAAATTGTGGAATATTCAATTCCTAATTTCTTTAATGTCAAGAAGACAGATGGCATGAAAAATTGTACTGATCCAGCTCTTGAACAGAAGTACAGGACTGCAAAGGCTACACTGATTAAAAGATACAAATACTGTATCAAGTGCTCTGTATCAGTGTCACAATGTTTTTTTAAAACTAATCCTTCACTGGGGAAAAAAAAGCCAGTATTGGTTAAACTGAACAGAATATGGTAACCTGCCAATTTTGAATAGGCACTCCATGAAAACAAGTTAATAGATGATGTTAGAAAGGAAAAGAATATTTACTGGTACAGTGCTTGGCAATCTCAGTTTTGATTACAAAAGTAGGCCTTCTAATATTGATTTCAAAAAAATTTTTATTTATTTGACAGAGAGTGTAAGCAAGAGAGAGCACAAGCTGGGGGAGGGGCAGCAGGAGACGGAGGAGCAGACTCCCCGCTGAGCAGGGAGCCCAATGTGGGACTCCATCCCAGGACCCTGGGATCAATAATATTGATTTTATACAGTATACATCATTTGCCAAAAGTTAAGTTTGTCCTAATTAGATAATAAAAGGTACTGCTGTTAGTCTTCCCCATAGATGTTATTTTTCTTATGTTCATTTCCTCAGAGTCAAACTCAGATTCAGTCATCCTCTTACAGATGTCTTTAATGTCATCAAAAGTTGTTTCAAAGTGAGTTGTAGCATTGCCTGTGCAGGAAATAAAGATCTAGTTTTCTGTTCCCAAACCTTTTGGTACAAGGTGGTCACTAATGCTAACAGATTTCTGTTCAGTCAGTTCCAAAAGCTGCAAAGCTGGTCTAATTTCTTTCTCTGGTTCCTTGGCTTCCATAGTTGTACTAACTATGGCGATATACTTCCCTTGTTTTTTTTTTTTTTTTTTAAAGATTTTATTTATTTGACAGAGAGAGACAGCGAGAGAGGGAACACAAGCAGGGGGAGTGGGAGGGGGAGAAGCAGACTTCCCTCCGAGCAGGGAGCCCGATGTTGGGCTCGATCAGGACCCTGGGATCATGACCTGAGCCGAAGGCAGACGCTTAACGACTGAGCCACCCAGGTGCCCCGATATACTTCCCTTGTGCTGCCATACTGTGTACGGAGGAGCTCAGGCATAGATATCTGACTGCTGACTGACTTAGTTCTGGGGAAGGATGATCTGGCAGGAGTTGGCATCATTGGTGTTCCTGATGGGGTGGCTGAGGATGCAGATAACTGATCACCTGGACCACTTTTTCTACCTGGTCTTTTACATAGCTGGGATCAAAAATGAGCTGCTTATAGTAAGGAACGTGTCCTTCAGATTTCACACCAATCACTCTTCCATTCCACACAATGATTTCTTCAATCAGTTTACTGAGTATGTACATACTACCATAAATAGCACTTAGCCCTGCAAATCCCAGGCTAAGTTCTCTAAGACCATAGAGTGGATAAAGGTATGCGCTTTTGCCATACTTGTTGTAAAGTTTAATCCTATTAATGGTTTCACAACATGGTTTATCTAAATAGTCATCCGTTGTTTTTATTTTTATTTTTTTAAGAGTTTTTGTTTATTCATTTTGAGAAAGAGCAAGTGAGCAAGAGCATGAGCAGAGTGGAAGTCAGAGGGAGAAGGAGAAGCAGACTCCCTGCTGAGCAGGATGCCCGACATGGGGCTTGATCCCAGGAGCCCAGGATCACGACCTAAGCCGAAGGTAGATGCTTAACCAACTGAGCCACCCAGGCACTCCAAATAGTCATCAGTTCTATAAAATGCCAGAGCAAAGGGGCACCTGGGTGGCTCAGTCAATTGGGCGTCTGCCTTCGGCTCAGGTCATGATCCTGGCATCCTGGGATCGAGCCCCATATCGGGCTCTGTGCTCAGTGGGGAGCCTGCTTCTCCCTCTCTCTCTGCCTGCCTACCTACTTGTGATGTCTCTCTCACTCTGCCAAAATAAATAAATAAATAAAATAAATGCCATGGCATAGCCAGCAAAATCCATGACATCCTATCCCAAATCAAATTTCTTGTATACCTCCCGAATTGCCATCTTCTTAGGATCAATGCCCTCAAAAGTTCGGGGATCTTTTTCATCAAAGCTGGCAACATACACTAGGAATTTTCTAAAGCGACATTTTTCAAATAGTCCCATTAAGCTAGATGCCAGGGCTTCTGCTTCAATGGAAGGAACCTTGTAGATTTTTCCTCCCTTATAGACAAAGCTCCCTTCAGTCCTTTGAAAACCAGATAGCAAGTGACCTTTGTATAAAGCAGCATCTTAACCAGCTGACCACTGACCATAACGAACTTGGGAATTAAGCCAACATTCCAGTCTCTTCCTCTCCCCATTGATGGTAGTGATGCTCCTGGTATTTAAAATCTTTTGTATAAATCTTCCAGAGGTGTTATAGGTGAACTTTCTCCTCCATAGTATGAGTTTCTACCCATGTGAAGAACTTTCTTTCCATTCACTGATATTATACTTGACAGGATATATTCAGTCAGGCTGGTGCCCAGTAGGAGCACTGCATACTCCTCATTCATAGCGGGGAAGGGTGAGGACCTAAGCCCCAAGAAAGGAGAAAGCACAGGGACTCTAGGGACCAGAGGCTCTAGGGCCAACCTGAAGAACAGGGGAAGGGCTCAGGCTGGCTAGACGGAAAAAGGAAGCCAGAGCTGGAGAGGAGGGAGGCTGGTTGCCATGTCAGATGGGAAGAGAAGGATCAAATGCCTTTTCAATACCTACTGGTTATATAAGTAACATGTTTTTCATGGAACATTTTTAGTTTGTGGATGATGTTAATAGATTTCCCCAATACTGAATCATTTTTGCATTCCTAGAATAAAACCTACTTTGTTTATTATAGCTTCATTTCTGAAGTTAATTTACTAATACCTTAATCAGAATTGTTCATCTATTGTCACAAGTGCTAGTTTTCTATTTTTGAACTGTGTCTTTAACAGAATTTGCATTAAAGATATACTGCTGGCTTCTCTAAAGGATTCTGACAGCTTTCCACCTTTACAGATGTTTGGATTATTTAAATAACTGGATTTATCTGCTTTTAAAAAGATCATATTCAGCTATGAATGCCTCTGCTTCTGGTCAATCTTTAATAACTTCTTAGTCTCTTTTAAGGAAATCAATTTACTCAAGTTTTCTACATCTTGGGATAATTTTGCTGGGAAAACAATTTACTCTAGCTTTTTTCTTTGTCATAGGTTGGCATGCACTAGTTTCTCAAAATTCTTTTAGTATATCCTGTACCTGTGTTTATGTCTCCTTTCTCATTCCTTACCTTGTATATTTTTGCTAGTATTTTTTTAACCTAATAAGGGAATCAAGGCTTATGAATTACCTGTTTTTTGTTGGTTGGATGATTTTCAAAGAATCAGCATTTGGTTTGTTTATTCCTTCTATTTTTTTTGTTGTTGTTGTTGTTGTTTATTTCATTAATTTCTGCTTTTTATTTCCCAGCTTCTTTTTCTTGTTCTTTTTCTAATTTCTCCTAAATGCCAAGTTCCTTCATTGTCCTTTTTCTTTAGTACAGAAGGAATTTAAGATTATAAATTTTTATTTGAGTAAAGGATTTACTGCATTTTGGTATAAAAGTTTCCTTTCCTTTCCTTTCTACCTAGTTTAAAATTCCCTTTTTTTTTTTTTAAAGATTTTATTTATTTATTTGACAGAGAGAGAGAGACAGCGAGAGGAAACACAAGCAGGGGGAGTGGGAGAGGGAGAAGCGGGCCTCCTGCAGAGCAAGGAGCCCGACACAGGGCTTGATCCCAGGACCCTGGGATCACGACCCGAGCTGAAGGCAGACGCCCAACGACTGAGCCACCCAGGCGCCCCTAAAATTCCCCTTTTGATTTCTTCTTTGAATCAGGGTTAACCTGTAGTGTTGTATAATTTCAGTAGGATTTTCCAAGTGATGTAAAGCTTATCATAGTACTGTTTAGCATAGGACAAAGTCTAACTTTTTCCCTGGTATATGCTTAAACAGGTAGTCCTCAGCTAGTGATAGAGCTGTATCTCAAGAGTCCAGGCATAAGTCAACTTTTTGAAAGCAATAAATACCAAAAGAAACATTTTAAATGATGAAGAAATTTTTCTTTACTTAATTTCCTTAAAGTTGGCATAAAAGACAGTTAAATATTCAAAGAACCCTGCAAGAATCAAATGTTGCTAAAATAATAGTGCACTAATAATAACCCTGAATTTCAGGATTGTCCTCTTAGCTTCCTACAGCATGTTCTAAAGAATGTCTCTCACAGCTAGATGGGAAAGAAGAGTGGGAAGGAGTTTGGAAAGAGCTGCATTCTAGAACAGTCACCTCCCTGGAAATCTGCATATATGTTAGCATATTAAGGACTCTGAAAAGTCCTGTATACCTTTGGTTAACTAAGCATTTCCTAAGTATATTTGACAACTATCATTCTTTTATTAATTAACAACCCATTAATTCTCTTTGGGAAATGTAAGCCAAGAAGACAGACATTCCTTGAAGAAAACATGGAATCAAATTCTCTGTCTTCTCTGTGGGTTATTCACAGCTGGGGCTCAGTAAGTGTTTGCTGAATGACTTGGTACCAGAGGTGGTGTGATGCGGCAACAGATGCTACAGTGTCCAACATGGCTATTCTTAGTATGGTCATACATAAGATGAGCTCTCTTAGTAAGGGGTACTCAATATTTTGCATCAAAATACAAACTTTCTATTTTACAATTGTGAATGGAAATTCCTAAGAGTATGATCCTACCTGAATTCAAATATCAAAATTTAACTCCCTGAGAAGGCCATCAAAACCCAGTAAAAGTAATACTGCATTCCAATAACCAGTGAAAAGTATATAAACATATATGCACATGTACACACATGGAAGCAGCATCACTGCCCGCCCACCCTCATCCCCATGTCTCTTGTGCAAAATGTCACATACCGATGACTTAGGTCATCACCAGATCAAAGTATGTTCAGAGAAGCAAAAGGATAAACCTGTCAATTTGTTCCATTGTCCATATTAAACTAAGAGGAGCTGCATACTTTCGGTTCCTATTCACTTAGTTTTATGATCCAGCCATATAATTTCATGGACATAAAGTAGACAGTGAAGCAGGTAAAGCCAGGAAACTTTAGAACTGTAAAACTGAAGACAATCTACATTTATTTAGCTAAAGAACTTCTAGTTTCAAAAATTATGAGATGTGAAATTTTACATCTTGATAGGTACTATTAACTGCCTACAGAACTCTGATTTCGTTTGGGACAACAATGTATGCACAACTGGAAGGGATAGGTCATAATGGACATATGACAATCATGGATGTCCTGATCCCTTCTGCAAGGTAAGTTACTTCCCAGGCTTCTTTGTAGCCATAGATAGGTATGTATGTGGCCACTGAGACAAGAGGAATGTAAATCTGCTGAGAGAAATCTACAAAAGACTGTGCTTTCAACATAAAAAAAAGAGCCATACAGGAAGACATTTTGTCCCCGCCTCGCAGTTTTTGCCAAGTACGCTGGCATGAGGAAAATAAGGCCTGGGGCTGCAATCATCCTTCTTTAACCATGAGGTGGCAAGCAAAAACCTAAGATAAGCAAAAGCATAGGAAACCAACATGTTAAGGACAGTAAAGCCCTGGATTCCTGATAACACCACTGAGTCAAGTGAACAATGTCTGGACCTACCCTCCTGCATTCTTGTTAACAATAAATATCCTTTCATTTTAAGCTCCTATTGGTTGGGTAGGCTGTCACTGCAGCCAACTGTTTCCTAAACTAGCACAGGAATGTCCTATATTTTCATACTGTGATGAAAATTATAAATTCACTTATTAACATTTCAGAATTTAAAACTTTAGAAAAGCAATAGAGGAAGTAAGAGATTTTTAATTTTTCACTGCATATAATGCTATATTTAAATACTTGTACAAACACGAAATGTTTTATAACATTAAACAGAATTTTTTTTAAACCTAAAAAGACAAATAATAGGAAAAATCGATCCATACCCGTACCTTTCCGTGTGTTCTCCGTTACATCTACCCCAAACTGGATAATGTCACCAGAAAGAATTTCACATGGTGGACTTTCTTCAGAGCCTCGACTCAATCTCTGGCTATTTATAAAGGTACCGTTACTACTTTTAGTGTCTTGGAGATAAAACTGCAAAAAAAAAAAAAAAAAAACAAAGATTAATACTAATAATTCCAAACCTACTTTAAGAAAAAGGACTTCCACCTTTGCAAACTACTACAGGTGGATTTTTTTTTCCCCTATCAATTCAAACTACTTGTTTCAGCTAAGGCTCTCCTTTAATACATAGGAAATTAGAACCTGGACACCAAGTGATTTAAAATCCAGCTAGGCAAAATAGTGCAATCACTTTGGAAAACAGTTTATAAAGTCCTCAAAATGTTAAACAAAAAGTTAGCATATGACCCAGCAATTCTACTCTGAGGTATATACACAAGAGAACTGAAAACATATGACCTCACAAAACTTGTACATGAACTTCATAGCAGCATTACTCATAATAGCCAAAAAGTGAAAACAACCTGAATGTCCATCAACTGATGAATAGGATAACAAAATGCAGTGTATTCATATATTATATTATTTGGCAATATAAAGTAATGAAGTACTGATTCATGCTACAACATGGATGAACTTTTAAAATATTACACTAAAAAGTTAGTCACAAAAGGCCAATACTATATAATTTCATTCATATGAAATGTCCAGAATAAGCAAATCCATGGAGACAAAAAGCACATTTGTGGTTGCAAGGGGTTGAGATACCAGGGGAAAAGGGGAAAGGGGCAGGAGAGTGGTGGTGGAGAGTGATGGTGGAGAATGACTGCTAATGCATACAGGTTTCTTTTGGAGGTGATTAAAATGTTCTAAAAATGAAACAATAGTGATGGTTACATAGCTTTGTGAATATACTAAAAACCGATGAATTGTACACTTTAAAAGGATGAATTTTTTAAAAGATTTTTATTTATTTGACAGAGAGAGAGAGAGAGCACATGGGTGTACAAACAGGGGGAGGGGCAGAGGGAAAAGGAGACTCCCTGCTTTGCAAGGAACCCAATGCGGGGCTCAATCCCAGGACCCTAGGATCATGACCTGAGCAAAAGGCAGACGTTTAACCAGCCGAGCCACCCAGGCGTCCCAAGGGTGAATTTTATAGTATGTGATTTATATCTCAATAAAGCTGTTATTAAAAAAAAAAAAATGCCAGCTAGGGGCGCCTGGGTGGCTCATGGCTCAGTCGTTAAGCATCTGCCTTTGGTTCAGGTCATGATCCCAGGGTCCTGAGATCGAGCCCTGCATCGGGCTCCCTGCTCATTGGGAAGCCTGCTTCTCCCTCTCCCGTTCCCCCTGCTTGTGTTCCCTCTCTCGCTGTGTCTCTCTCTGTCAGATAAAAAAATAAGATCTTTAAAAAAAAAAAAAAGCGAGCTAGACAAAATTCTAATTCTATCTTTCCATCTCATTCTTTGTAATCTTGCTTCTAGGATATCTGAGTTAAATCAAAGGAAGTGTTTATTCCACAGGCGAGGGCAACTGGTTTTAGGTAACACCTATAATTAACAGCTATCAGCTAACTAACATACTTGGTATCAGGAATGACATATCTTCAGTAATTTCTTTGTAATAAAGCAGATTGGAGACACTAGGAATTAAAATACTGGAATCAGCTATGAAGCTACTATTTTCTGGCCTCCTAAACTTGCCTTTCATCGCTTGGGTAACTTCCCTCTTTAAAAAGGGGAGGGGTAGCAAGAAGCCCAGAAAGCCTACCTATTCTAAAAGAAATTAGGAACAATTGGGATCATGCACAACAGACTTACTAGGAAGAGAACAACCAATAAAAAAAAGATGTACCTTTCTTTTTGCATTTTTCTACACTCTCCAGCCCTGCTTATTCTAGCAACATATTTTCACTGAATTCCTTCCTAAGGAAGAAAGGAAAGAAGAAAACTAATATTTATTAAAATATATGTTACACCACCAGGTCCTCATTTAATCTTAACATTAAAGCTATGATACAGATATTATTTCCATATGTAAATGAGAAAAATGAGGCACAGACAAGTATCTTCCAAAGGTCAAAGAGCTAGGAGCAAGGATTCATATAATAGAATTGAAAGGGCCATTTTTCCCCATTACTTCACACTGACCTTTATGTTTCATTTATCCTTCACTCCTCCCACAAGCTCTTTTCCAAAATGAAACACAGCAAAATATACAACTTGAAGAAAATATGAAAGCGGAATTTCTTTTCATTAATTCCTAGGTGACAATTTAAAGGCCACCAGGCTGTCTATAAATGACTTATTCTCTGTTTGTAATTCAAAAGAAAACAACTGTTACCTGGGCTAGCAATTTGTATACTTAATTACAGACCATTAATGATGAAAATTGTGTTGATACTTTATAAGTCCATTTGAAATTCATAGGCCTTACCATTTCACGCCAGGGAGAGAAGCACAGGTAATACACTCAAGTAGGAACACTTACCCTCACCATTTTTTTCTACCCTGGAACCTACTGTTACACTGTATAGAGGAATTTGGTTTTTATTTCTTAATGAACATATTCATAGGAAATGTGGCAATATCTGGATTCTGGCTTGGTTATTTGTAGTACTGTGTGCCTTGACAAGCCAAATAAAGGAATTATACCAGATTTACGGTGTTTTTCAGACTTCAAGTTCTGATTCATTAGTGTGTTATGAAGTCATTTAGTAGTCTGTGGCTAGCATTTTGATTTAAACTTTAAAAAGAACAGAAAAGAAATAAGAATATGAGTTTCAGTACTGTTAGCAAACTTTGGAAAACAAAAAGTTGTGTGTGTGTGTCAACACCTCTTACGGAGCTCTTACATAACTCTACAACCACAAATTTTCAAATTAAAAAAATTTAAAGTCAACATTAACCCAGTTTCTTTTCATTCTGACACATCTGTATGACTGCCCGAAGCACAGCCTCCATTTAGTGTGAACCTATCATTTATGGTAGTTGTTCACCCTTTCTCTGCTCTCAACTTGCTAATGGCTTCCAAACACCTTAGAATAAAACCTAAAGTTATCATTATAGCCTATAAGGCCCTATATGATCTTGCTCTTGGTTCCCTCTCCAAACTCATTAACTTCCACTACCTTCTAACCTCAACCCTCTCAGCCACACTAACGTCCACTCATGTGCCTGAGCCTCTGGACTTGTGTATAGTATAGCTAGACCACATTAGTCTACATCCCTGCAAAACTATTTTCATTGATATGTTTTAACCTTCTGAAGATTGATACTAAAAGTGATGTTTGTGCATCTTTTATGAAACAATCTGCTATTATTCGGTCTAAATTGTACAGAAGCTTTTCTATGTACGGGTTAGGTTCCTGAAGGTATAAAGAAGTTTGTTTGCAAGAGACTGTGCTTCCTGTGCTTAGGCATTTCCCATAAGTAGATATATTAGCTGGTCCTTTGTCACTTTTAAACCAGAAATATTTTTCTCCTCTATGATGATAAACCTTCTTCCATCAGGCTTCTTCTTCTTCTTCCTTTTTTTCCCTTAAAAGAGATTAGTTTTGGCTACTCTAAAATTGTTTTTCAAATCCCACTGAAGCTTTAACTATCTTTATTTCCTAGTAGTGTAAGGAATGCCCAAGTAGCTCTAGTGTTTGCATTGGCCACCAGACATTCATTCACTTTGAGCAAGTGTTTAAATAGCCCTGAACTTATAAAACCCTCTGTGGCCTGTGGCCAAAGTTCAATTTATACTGTTTTCAGACTTAATTTCTGATTAACCCCTTGCTTTTCCCTAAATAAATGTGAGGGTCCCAGAAATCTGACATTGATAGTTGTCCTTGAACTAAAAGGTTCTCCCTGCCCCCATCACTTTTCCCCATCTCTTGTTGATTCTGATTACTTTCAATGACACAGGCACTATACTCCACATGTTGCATAATATGCTCTTTGGCCTTCAAAAAGTTCTTGCTCTTCATTCCATAAACAAATACATTTTGCATCATTTTCAACTTTACTAAAATCTGTAAATACTTTCATTTCCACTACAATGATAAACTTTTTAAAAAATTTTTTTATTATGTTATGTTAATCACCATACATTACATCATTAGTTTTTGACGTAATGTTCCATGATTCATTGTTTGCGTATAACACCCAGTGCTTCATTCAGTACGTGCCCTCTTTAATACCCATCACCGGGCTAACCCATTCCCCCACCCCCATCCCCTCTAGAACCCTCAGTTTGTTTCTCAGAGTCCATAGTCTCTCATGGTTCGTCTCCCCCTCTGATTTCCCCCCCTTCATTTTCCCTTCCTGCTATCTTCTTCTTCTTCTTTTTAAACAATATAATGTATTATTTGTTTCAGAGGTACAGGTCTGTAATTCAACAATCTTATACAATTCACAGCGCTCACCATAGCACATACCCTCCCCAATGTCCATCACCCAGCCACCCAATCCCTCCCACCCCCCCACCACTCCAGCAACCCTCAGTTTGTTTCCTGAGATTAAGAATTCCTCATATCAGTGAGGTCATATGATACATGTCTTTCTCTGATTGACTTATTTCACTCAGCATAATACCCTCCAGTTCCATTCACGTTGTTGCAAATGGCAAGATCTCATTCCTTTTGATGGCTGCATAATATTCCATTGTGTATATATACACCACATCTTCTTTATCCATTCATCTGTCAATGGACATCTTGGCTCTTTCCATAGTTTGCCTATTGTGGACATTGCTGCTATAAACATTAGGGTGCATGTACATACCCCTTCGGATCCCTACATTTGTATCTTTGGGGTAAATACCCAGTAGTTAAACTGCTTTTTTCTAACCCTTCTACACTGATAGGTTTTGCAATATCCAAACACATTTGAACTAAAACTTCAGAACAAAGAACTATATAGTAGGCATGCCATAGCCCTGGGGCCAGAAATTCTAAGCCCATACAGGAGAGTTTTTAAAATGTGAACGCCGAATGGATTATGAACTCTAGATGGCAGATACTTCGTCACAGATTTTTAAACCAAACAGACCAACTAAAATAGCAAAACCAAATTCCATGGATAATATTTACAACAAAAGCAGGTGACAAGGTATCCACATGAACCTCAAAATAAAAGTGAGGA